CAACGCGCAACTGAGGATGAGAACGAAGATGAGGACGAGGAAGACGAGGACGAGGAAGACGAGAACGAGGAAGTGTAGTGTACAGAGCGTGAAACGCGGGGGCGTACTACAGCATAACAACTTTTCTTCTGTCATAACCAGAAGCCTAGCTGCTTCCAACAACCCAAGAACTGTATTCACCATAACCCCCTTCTCAAACATGTATTTAGTACAGCTTTACTCATCTGTTGGAGGGAAACCCTCAGCCGTGCTACTACAGTCTCAGACTCACACAGCACGTTAAAAGGAATAATAATAATAATAATAATAATAACCCACGTGCCCAGGTATTTTCACGTATACTTTAACTACCCCCAGGCCTTACTATCGCCTACCCTTATTATCGTCTATCTATACTATTACCTACTCTTACTATCGCCTACCCTTGCGACCGTATAAGGGTTGTGCCCTAGTATGTTGTTTAGAAAAGAGAGAGAGAGAGAGAGAGAGGGTAGCTAAGGGGAACGGAAGCCGGGGAAATGTTCTAGTCGTATATATCGCTTATTCCTAGCCCTCGAATACCACATTCCTAAAAGTATTAGGCTAGTACGTGTTACGCTAAAAATTGTTTGCTACTCGTTCTTGTCTATCCTTTTTTCCCCTCTAATCTTCTCTTCTCTTTCTTTATAACAACCATCTACAACTACGACAGCAACAGCAACAGCGATAGCAACAGCTATAGCGAGAAGGGATAGGGGGTATTTGTTTGCCCGAGGGGGAGGGGGTTGGGAGGTAACGACATACCCTACGAGAGGGGGGTATCTTGTTAGCACGTACGAGACACGTGTAGGGGAAGGGGTTAAAAAGAGGGGGGAAGAGAAAAGGGGCGTAAGAGGGTATACCTACGGACTTATAGTCTAGGGTGCTTATAATTATATTATTCAAAATAATTTAGACTGACCCGACTTTATTATTTGGCTCTGCCTATTATAAAAAGTGACATTTGCCATTTACGATTCGCGATTTAGTCTATTCCGACCTAAGTGTACGTTCAGGATGCCGTAGTATCTTACCTTGGTAATAATCCCCAAGAGTAGCCTCCATGAAGACCAGGCAGGAATGTTACATTCAACTTCATGTGGAAATTGATTGAGGTCGTTGCTACAAAATCTGTGCGTTACAGAATGGTTGCGAGGCTAAGTCTGATATTGGCATCGATATTGGGAGGTAATTACTTACGTACCTAGAGGTACGTAAGTCCGCTATGGACAACAGCAGAGAGCATCACGATGATTCTGTGAACATATTACAAATTTACCCAGAGGTCAACCATGCGAATGATAACCCGCCAGGGGTCATCATAGTAAAAAAATGGCTCTCGAAGTGGAAGTACCCCATCTGCAACCTTGGAAAGAAAACTCTATATTTACAACCGTATTAACAGCTAGGTACTGTCTTAATACATATATTACTACCTACCTACCTAGGTATTGTACACTACCTATAGGTAGGTCTGCAATGGTTAAACAATTACATCTTTTACCCTCGGTAGAATCACTCCATCTCGCTAAAGCTCCAAATTTTGAAGCGAAAATGGAAGTGCATGAAGGTGGAAGAAAGCAGAAAGTTTCAATCCGACAGGGGGGAGGGAGGGAGAGGATTTATATAGGTAGTCTGCACCTGCACTTATCCGCATTGGGACATGGTATTGTGGGTCTAGACCTCAAGGGGAGGCCCAGGACGAAGTGTCGTGCGGTTACTCCTTCCCCCCCAGGACGTCTCGACCTAACCAAAGAGACGGTTCCATGAGGGCGCCTGCAATCTTGAAGGAAGAACCAGAATCGTGGCACCATTGATGGGGGCGCTCCTTCCCTCTTGTCTCCACTTGAATTCGCTCGACCCTTCCGAATTCGATCGACACTTCCAAACTCCATTTCGGATTCGAAGGTCGCCTGCCTCGAACTTATCCATCTGACTCATGCAGGTGCAGTCCATCTCAAACCGACGCTTTCATTCAAGGTCCCCGTCCACGCCCGGTCTTCCTCCAATCCCTCGATGCCCTGCTGCGTTGCGGTTTGGCCATCCTTCCAACCCAACCAGAACTCTGGGAGGATGACAGAAACTCTGGCCAAAGAAGGTATCTACAATTTTATTAACCTGCCTAAATTGTAGCATTGGCAGAAATTTGATGCATATACCCAGGCACCTTTTTGTTTTATCTCATGAGGACACCTATAGGTACTCACCTACTTGTAATACCACTTATGATTTTGTCTAGACAAAACCCTTGCATTCCTATATTTACTTAGCAAAGTAGGTAGAAACAGGGAGAAAATTCATAGAGCAAGATACTCAATTGCATGTCAGAATTCGACAGATTCCTGAGAGCACCTACGCAAATTTAGATATGGTGGTGTCAATTTTGTGTATTCATTCCTTTTCTATGTACCCAGGTAGGCTGCGACACAACCACTCACACAGAGCGTCAATAACCAACCAGAAACCCATCATATCATGGCATTCTTTACTCACTTCCTCCTCCTATCCCATATCCGTTGCCCAAACTCCTTGCAAATTTCACAAACTTGAGCTAATTGAGCCGAATCCCTGCTTTCCTTCGTACATTGGGTTTGAATATTATTTATGTGCGAAAACGCCAGCTAGAACTTCCCAGCTATACCTAAGTAATACTTGTAGTGGATGGCAATTATGTAGACCGTGAAGCCTTTGCGAAATGCAAATCGACTATTTCCTATTATCAAATCAGATACATTCTATTCCGAGAGCCACAGATGTAATTCATTAGCACACAACTCATTCCTTACCTTCGCCTCCAGATCCCCCTTCTCAAGATACTCCTCAAGCCCCCTCTCCACAAAATAACTCTTAACAAACATCGCAAAGTCCAGCGGGGACGGCTCCGCAATACCATCAGGCTCCAACAGATGAGCAAGCAACCTGTCTTCATACTCATTCATCATCTGCTCGCGGAATCTTCTCACTCGAGATTCGGTAAACTTCTGTTTATGATACTCAAAAAGCGATTTATTCCGGACGTCGAAGCGAGCGTTGATGTATTGTTCCACGAGGTCCGCTTGAGCGTCGCGTTCCGTGCCATGAGGGTCACTGATGTCGTCATGACTTGGAATGGAGGATATGCGACGACGGAACTCTTCTTGGGTGATCTCGCATACGAGAATGTGTTTAGGTGCTGTGTCTTGGAATGCGAGCTCCCAGTCTTCCATTTGTTGATGGAGCTCGTTCAAGGATTTTTGTTGCCATTGGATTTGGCCAAGGTTGCTTGTTGCTGAAGTGGATGCCATTTCGGTTGGATGTTGGGAGATGACAGAGAACTTTACTCGGAGGGATATCGTGGCAAGTGCTTGGAACTTCGTTATGAAGAAGTCCTTGGAACATGCAGACTACGACTGACGTATTTGGCCAAGCAGCTCAACATGGGAGATAGAGCTCAATTCACCTGGCAGCGAGATGTTGAAATTCACCTGAGGGTTCATGTGAAGATCCTCAGGTGACGATATAAGATTCAATACTTCCAGCTTAGAGGTGTGGTACCTTTCTCTGCCTAGGTATCTAACCGCTCCCAGGAGTTAAGAAAACTCCTTTTCTTATTGTGCCTATCCTGATGGATATATCAAGTGGAATAAATCCATCCACTCTATGTTTCCTCTTTGCGGGTTCCTTCCAAAACTTTGATCTAAACCCTCTAGATCAACAACTCCTCTTATTCAGAGCCACTCGGCTAAAATGCTAATCATCAACTACAACTTACCTAGGTAGGTAGCCGACGATATTAAATGACTTATTCATATACACAGCTTCTTCTCCTGTCTATAAAATTCCCGGCCTGTACATCTCCCACAGTTCAAATATCTATAACAACAGAGGCTCAAATCAAGAAAACTCATTGATAATTGTCCTGATTATCCGTATTGAATTATGTCTTTGGCGTGTGCTCGAGTAAACCTGTGAGTTTGCAAAGGGAAGTAGTATATTTGATTAGATTCTATGGCTTGCGTCCGATGCTCTGATCAAAAGAACAGAAGTCAAGCAAAAGATTAGTAACAAGTTGTAGTTTTCTAACTGCGCCCTTTCCTGCACCCGCAAAAGGCAAGTCAAGGTTCAATAGTGCCTCTCCGAAGTCCTAGCCGTTAAAAAGATACTCAAACTTCCCATAATCTCCAAAATACCCTTGAACCCTTCTGACACAGAATCCACACCCTAGATACAATCTGAAATAGAGTCAACAGACTATCTCATGTAGCGGATCAATTTAAGTAGGCAACATCAAAACCACTATAACTCCCCTTTGCAGGCCTACAGTCCTCTGGTGCCTAAGGGAACAAGTGAGAAACCTAGCTTACGATCAAGAAATGATTAACATATACATCAGGTTTATCAAAATACGACCAAAGACTGACGGCGAAACGTGGCTTTCAATTTCACTGAAACGCTGGGGTATCCATAATTCTCAAGACCATGACCTCCTTCAGTCACCCATTAACACCGCACACTGATCCATCTCCATATCTCTCATCAATCTAGCGTGAATACCAAACCCCAATAGCGCGCCCCCAAACGTCTCTTCCTTACTGGCCACAGAGATTAATTACTCCACCCAAACAAGAAAAAAGGGTTGCAAAATTCAAATTCCCGTCCGTGCTTGCATGCACTGTCAACCTTCGCTCCAAACGCCATAAATGAAGCCCTCCAAACGCCAAATGCATTTCCATGCTATGCGACTCCGCTCCTGATGCATTATTGTAGTCGTGTGCTGAAATTTTTGTTCGTACTGTTACAAGTGTTTTGGTTGAGAGAAGAAAAGAGGAAGAGCCATGGGCCAGCTACCAGCAATGTTGAGTACAGCCTCAGAGCCATTCTCCATCCTGGGGTGAAATGTGGGGGTGATTGCTCTTGGAGAAAGGGCATGATGGTGGCTTTTTTTCGGAGAGTGTGTGTTTTTTCATGAAAGATATTATGGTGGGGATGAATTTGGGAGGAGGACCTGCTCAGAGATTAGGAAAAAAGGTTGGGAGCAGTGTCGTCTGCCTTCATTGTGCCATTCAATTTAGGACATAGCCTAAGGTGTAAAGTTAGCGATTGAGAAAGCAGTTGTGACGCAGAATGATTTCCGAATGTCGATGCCATCTCACTTGAGAAGATGAAGAAAGCTTTTTCTTTTCGTTCAGGGGTCGTAATCTGGACTCATGGGACAGTACTTTTTGTTTGTTTTGATGTGTCCAGCCTGACCGCAGTTGTTGCACTTTCTCGTTGTTCCAGCTGCCTTTTCGTTTATCAAGGGAGTCGGAGTGGCAGTAGCAGATGGAGAAGCAACGTCAGGTTCATTAGAAGCCTTTTCAGCCTTCTTCAGTTGATTGCTCTTCTGTCTTTCACGAGCCTGTCTGCGCTCTTTGTTACGTTCCAAACGGAGAAGCTCCTTTTGCATGCTATTCAATATGTAAGCTTGTGTCAGACATAGATTGTTTACACCATACTGCTCATACCGTAGTTTCTCCGCCGCATCCCACGTATTTTGCCCTGTGGGTTTGATGTTGTAGATACTAGTATATGTTAGTTGTATGCGCTCAAATAACACAAATATGACACAGTCAACGTACTTGGTGCTCTTAGAATCTCTTTCATGAACTTGTTTGAGATATTCTCTCCAGACACGTTTGTCTCTAATGAGCTCAACCACCTCCTGAACTAGTCCAGTATTCGGATTTATGACCTTTCGAGTAATTCGGAGCGCCTTTCCTGAGTGGTTAAGTGTGCTGTGACCGCTCACCATACTAGCTGAATCATCGTACGGACCTGGAGTTTGCATCGAGTGAGGGGTCTGAATAGCTGCCAGTCTGGCATCCTCCTCTATCTGCTCACGTTTTTCATCTTCGTTCTCTTCATATTCAGTCGGGTCGCTCAAATTTGCTTTTTGCTTGTCCCAAATCTCACGAATTGCACTTTGATACTTCTCCTCTTGCTTCTTGACATTGTAGCCATGACCTCCATTGGCCTTACGCTCCTGCTGCAATTGAGAAGTGGAGGACGGACCTTGAAGTGCACCAAGATAGCCACCCTTCATAGATGTGCGAACCATGCTGATTGCCAATCCATTGCCAGATGGGTCGCCTCCTCCATGTAACATTAGCATGGCCTTACCTTGAGATGCATCCAGGAACGCTCTGCTGGTCCTCCACGGCGTCAAACTTTTCTCCAGTTGTCCTTCATCAGCTGGTTCGTCAACGTCTTCTTGTGGTTGTTTATCGCCTCCAGCTGTCTTCTTTTCATCCTCAACTTCGTAGCCAGCATCCTGCAACTGTCGTGTGCCAACCTCCATGGCCTGAAGGGCACAAACTTCTTCTGGCTTGATGAATGATCTGATGACACTTTCATCTGGGATTTGCTCATTTTCTCTCATTTTCCACACCTTGTCGGTTTTATCATAATCAAAAAACTCCTTCATCTTTTGCCTATTTTGTGAATCTTGAGAGTCCTTGATGTGCTCTGTAATTTCTTGGATTCTCAATGAATGTGTAGGACTATGTTTCATTTTCCGGAGAGCAATCATCCTCATCCGGGTCTTGGTAGCGTTTGTGACGCGACGAGAATGTGGTCCAGGAATCTCCATGGAAGGAAACTGTTGTCCCACAGCAAAAACATGGTCAATGTTACGAACATACCAATGTGATCCACCAATGCCTGTGGTCTCACGAATCATAAGAAAGTCTGTGCTTTTCGTCTCATGCTTGAAGATAGGCGCTTTGTACATGGAATTGTGGATCGTTCGAACAGACTCACCAGGGTCGACCTCCCCAAAATTCGCAAAAGGAGATTTGTCCTCTGGCAACAATGGAGTTACATCACCCACCTTGTCCTCTGGCTGGGGGCGTTCACTATCGTCCGCGTCCCTTCGCCGATAGTAATTGATGATACGGTTTCCCATACCAAAGTTGGAAAGAATAATAGGATGCTCCTCAGAGTACTCAAGTAAAGTAGCAGACGAATAGTGATCTGCGAGAGAAAGATCCTTGCATTCCTTGAACAGCTCCTGTGTTGGCATGTTCTTGACTTGTTTCTTCTTACGCATAGCAGGCTTTGAAAAATGATTCGGCTGGTTAAGAAGTTTCTCGAGTTTGATGGATGGTCTGTGAAAGGATCGAGCATCGTTCACCAGAAGCCTACAAAGATAGTATGGCCATTGCAATCTGAGAGCTGGCATACTGTGCTCGAGGGCTACGTTTCCAAGAGTTGCGCGAACCTTGCTCTGATGGTTCTCCTTCAAAGCGTCATATGCCTCATCGTTCGATATGTTGAATCTCGAACCAAACGATGAAGCAAATCCACCTTTACTAGCTTTGGCGGTAGCATTGAGACGTTGACGTTTTACAGGACTGTACTCCAATGTATCTAGCAAAAGATGTGGATCGTTTAGGTCGAGAAGTACGCGCTTAGCCGATGTTTTTGTGGCGGCCTCAAAGTTATCGAATGAGGGTGCAGGAAAACGAGGGGCATTAATGATATCCCTCTCCGCGGGCACAACCTTTCTGCGCTTTGTTGGCTGACCCTCGTACATCTCTCGCTCCCATTCGTCAAGCTCCTCAGGCTGCTCAATAGGTTGAGGCTGAAGCTGATCTATCTTTGATTCCCAATCCCCACATAATACCTCTAGGTCGGTCCAAGACACACCACCAATTGGAGAGGGTATTGAGTAATCGAGAGCTTCCTCGTTATCCTCCTCAGCCGAAGATTCATCTACTATAGCAACCAACCCCTTCGCCTCGGCCTCTTGGACCCGCTTGCGTTTGTTTGATGTCGCCGGACCTGCATTACGGAATGACTTCTCCTCATCCGGTGCAAGGTCCAAGCTGGCCTTCGTGGGGTTCACGGGTCTGGGGAGTTTCTCTGGGGCTTTTGGGATAATATGGCGAGGCTTAGGAGGTAGGAGCTGGTTCCAGTTCAATATGGTCCCTCGCTGGAATCCTGGCCAAGATTGTTTCAATAACTCCTCTTCGGATTCAGCGGGCGCTGGGATGGATGGATCTTGGTTGGTGGTTCGAGGATGTTCCGGGAAGTTGAGCTCACGCAGGTCAATTTCCTCTTCCTCTTCAGGAGATGGTAGCGTAAGGCCTGCGTTGATGATACTGGGTTGAGGTACACCATTTGGCCGGTAAGGGTCATGGTCGTCGAATTCGTCAAAGGGCGAAGAGCCGCGACCATCACCAAACAAGTCATCGGTATCGTGGCTCGTTCCCATATCATCAGTAAGACCTGGCACATCACCTTCCCCTGCTCCAGCAGCTTTCTCTTCTTCGGGCAAATCATCGTCACTGATGTCCTCGAAGTCCTCCGCGTCATCTGCTTTCTCTCCCGTCTCCAGAGGTCGATTCATATCAAAGAGCGCCCCTGCTCCATCTTGCTGACTTTCTGCCAGGAGCTTCTGAAGATTCGCATCATCTTCTTGCTCCTGGGTCTTCCAGTCTATCTCGTTGAATTCCGTCGTCTCCGCCATCGTTGATGTTGCGCAGTGGTGTCGCGCGAAATTCCTAGATCCCCCCGCCGCGAACCTGAAGCTCAGATAGGGCGTGAACCATCGACGTGTGAAGTGAAGGAGTCACTCCAGGGCAAGTCTCGCAGTTTTCGCTATCTAAAGAATCGTCAGGACGCTAAGTATCGTGGATATGCGGAAAGATGCGCTCGAGGTATCGTCGTCGGTGGTGCTGGGTCAAGATAGGTCGGATCTTAAGTTTGTGTTCAGGTTCAAGTCGCGATGGTCGGGAGGAATTTGACTCACGTGCCTGCGCCGCCTCCACCAAAACCGATTGAAAGCGACCTCAGAACTTCACATTCACCACCTTATCGCCTTCTACCTATATATTCAGTGCAAAGGGTAAGAAATGCACATTCTTGTGATAAGATACTGATCTTCCCAAGAATGCAATGCACTTAAGTGCCAAACTCATATTACGCCATGTCTATGGTAGAGTCATACACAAGTACCCAAAAGTGGACGTAGTGCTCTGACCTTCATGGATAAGGTGAGTGAGTGATTTGACTAGCAAAGCTGTGAACATTGGAACTGCAGCAACTGTTGAACTGTTGCAGGGTGAATAACGTTCACTGGCAGTCTACTCTGATGTGATACCCGTCAATTTGGGACTGGATTCATGGGTGGCAGCACAGTAATGAATGTACTTGAGTAGGGCAGGTACGGAGCTGCATGGTGCTAGGTTGTACCTAGATCCATAGTAAGGTTTGGATCCATAATGGAAGGAGTGGAGCACCATTTCTTCTCGAATCTTGATGCAATACAAACCCACCTCATATTTGTATCAGTCATACAAACCTACCCGATCTCCCAAATTTTATAAAACAGCACTCGCCTCATATTGCGACGAGGTCTTCCAGTTGTTTCTATAACATACCACTCGTATCCCCAAACCAGGCAATCTTCTCAACCAGCAGTCATTCGCCTTATCCCCAGAAGTCACGACGCCACTGCCGTCATGTCAATGGTCTCGCTCTTTCCTCTCTCAGAGAGAAAACTTCTCGAGAAGAAGTTTGTTGGTCAAAACCTCAAGGATGTTGCTACTCCTGCGGCGGTACTTGATTTGAATAAAATCAAACGCAATTGTGCACGTATGTTGAAAGCCGTAGATCAACTGCAATTTGGATGGAGAGTGCATATCAAGACTCACAAGGTATGAAACAAACCTGCCACATATCTTTAATTCACATCAACCTCCACGGGAACAGAGAAATGAGAAGATGCGGCGCTTGGTTTCCATCCCAATGACATCTTCTGAGAAGACTAACTTCTGACTGGTTCAGACAAATGAACTCACCGAACTTCAAGTCGGTGAGGTTGGTCCAGTCAACATCATCGTTTCTACCGTCCTTGAAGCAGAACAGGTCCTCCCACTCCTTTTGAAATACAAGAAACTCGGAAGAGATGTCAATGTAAGAAATCCCTGCCCCCACTTTCCACATATCTCAACTTTCTCTAATCAAAAATGAACGAAGCTTCTCTACAGCTTTCCCTTCACCCCGGCGTCAGTCGAACGTCTGGCCCTTTTCTCCAAGGCTACAGGACCAAAAGGCCTCTCTCTCCTCATTGATCATCCTAGCCAGCTTGAATCAGTCAGAAATCTTTATCAGGCCACGTCTATCGCTCCAGAAATATTCATCAAGGTTGATATGGGATATAACCGAGCTGGAGTCATTCCACAAACCGAAGCTTGCTCTCAACTCATTACCTCAATGCTCAATCTCGAGGCAGAGGGTGTGGCCAATCTCCTAGGACTCTATGCTCACGCCGGTCAATCTTATAGTGGCAATGACAGAGCTACCGCACTTGATTACCTTCGTCAAGAGTTTGAATCAATCTTGGTTACCGCTGGATCAGTACACTCCACCCTACCTTCCAAACCCATAATTCTTTCCGTTGGAGCAACCCCAACTTCAACATCCATTCGAAATCTCTTCGCTAACGACGTCGACTCGGAGTCAGAAGAGGGTATAGCAATCGCAGCTCTCAAAGCGACAATCGTAGCGATCCGAGAGCGAAATTGCAAAATTGAAATCCATGCTGGTGTTTATCCTGTTTTGGACCTTCAGCAACTCGCCACTAATGCTCTTACCACTGAAGGTCCAAATGCCATGTTGACATTTGACGATCTAGCATTGACAGTCATCTCTGAAATTGCTTCCGTATACCCAGGCCGTGGAGCAGATGGTACACCGGAAGCGCTCATCGGCAGCGGAAGTTTAGCATTAGGTCGTGAACCATGTAAAGCATATCCCGGTTGGGCGATCGTGACCCCATGGAACAGAGCAGGTGTGGAGATGCCAAAGACAACTTTGGCGAGACACACTGGTTGGACTGTTGGTAGGATCTCTCAAGAACATGGTGTTCTTACGTGGAATGGTGCAGTAGACGAGGCTGAGCCTCTTGAAGTTGGCATGAAGGTTCGGTTGTGGCCAAATCATGCTTGTGTTGCAGGGGCTGGTTTTGGGTGGTACTTGATTGTTGATTCGGGTAGAGAGGGCAAAGAGGATGACATTATTGATGTTTGGCCTAGATGGCGCGGATGGTAATGGCTTGACTTGGTGAAGATTCACCACCTACAGTACATAAATTATCATGGTATTCGACTAGAGGTTTCTCTAGTACAAAACAAATGTTCGAATATCTACAGCTCGTCGCAAAAAGGGATATCAAATAGCTCTCGTCATGTTTCACTGCTTTAACTAGATCTGACTACTCTGTCCAGCTCTTTGGACTGATCACTTTGTGTTTGTTGAAAGGCTCAGTTGATGGGTCTGGTTATCTTTAGTCATAGAATAGCAACAAATTATCCTTGAAGGACAGAGAAATGAGGCTGTTTCATATACGTGAAGCTAGGCTGAGAAGGAAACCTATTGCATTAGCTCACTTTTCACTGAGTAGTATTAGCAATCCAGCAAAGCATTGGAGTAAAGACAAAGACAAGAGCTTGCTTTCATTCTTCTTAGCCTGTTTAATTAGCTCCTAGACCTATCTCTCGTAGGAAATTATCATGTTTTGATATTAAAAAAACCGACTCCAGACGCCACCAGCTAGATAAGCGCACCGTAATCCGTAAAAAACAACTTTTATAGAAGAAGACCATCTTCATCATTATACATATCCTATCATTTACATCTTTTCTCCACGACACTAGCACCGAACTCCTCATACTCCTTCCTCGAAATCCACATCTGGTGGAAAGTTCCCAGACTACCTAGAATACTTCCTCCAACCCAACTACCAAATCTTCGCTCCGACGTCAAGCCAGCAGCCGTAATCTTTATTCGGGCACTGGGGAATAGGCTTGAAATCTCCCAGTTGAGACGATCTGTGAACCCTTGAAGTAGGGTTGTACCGCCCGTGACGACAATGTTCGCAAGAAGGGCGGGACGGAGATCCACGTCTACTGCGGAAACTGATGCTCGGACCATTTCGGGAATAGTTTGTGCTTTGGTAATGGGAGGCTCGGAGGTTGGAAGGGCGTATTTTTCGTCGAAGAGTCCTTCTACGATTCTCATTCGATCGACACCCCACATTTGATTGGAGCCATCTGGGAATTCGAAAACACGACCTGGCGACATTTTGACGTTCTCAAGGTTCAAGATACCATTTACCGGGTGTGGATAGTGTAAACGACCGGGACCTGGATACACTTGGACCACTGACTCTTTAAATTCCGTCAACACACGCTCTTCTTCAGAGGCACGAAAGCTGTCTGTAATCTTGTTCTCGAACTTTTGATATGTTGCTTGGGCCGGAGCACCAGCATCGACTGGAGTCTTAGAAGAGATCATAAAATGTGGTGTAACTTCGACTTTGGGATCCACTGAGCCAAAAAGAGAGCGGATTTGTGACGACACCCAATTGCCAGCCAGAGGTGATTTTTGCACACTTTTCTTCAAGATGAGACCATCATGAATACAAATGACAGAAGCAGTCGAAGCGCCAAGGTCGATGACCAGCGCTGTGGCCTTGCCTGCAGCAAAGGATGCCATAACACTGTTACGTGCCAACCAGAACGCCGGAACCCCCCAGTTTTCCATCGCTATCTCAATCGCCTTTTCTCTGTTTTTACTGGTATTCCATGCCGTTTCGGTAATCAGCAATGGGTGTTCCTCAAGTGGTTTCTCTTCCTCATCCGGGGCGTCCATGTCGACATCAACCCCATCCTTTCCCCCGACATCATTCAATCCATTCTTGCGGGGGTCGCCTTGCTTAGTTCTTATCAGCCTTGATGTGATGGCGTGTTCCCAAAGTTGTGTCGCTGCGTCCCAATCCTCAACTATTCCCTCCTTGGACATGGGATTTCGAATTTCGAGCTCTGGGAGTAATGGATTGTGGATGTCTTCATCGCTGAAGATGGTTCGATTACCGGTGACGCCATAGCTGGAGCTAAAGAAAGACTTGGGGGTGTCTTCGCCCGCAAATCCTGCGCGCACGCTAGAATATCCGGCGTCGAGAATGATTGCTTGGATCTCATCTGTGGAAGGGTGTGTATGTGAGCTATTGAGACGGTGCAGTTGCATAGAGGAATTGCTTACCTCCCCCGTAAGTATCATTGGGGGGCATAGATGAGTTCATGGGTTGGGACGCCATTTTGTATTCGATTGGCAGAAAATTATGGGCAGAGCGTTGAGATATTGTTGTTGTCGCAACCAAAGATGGATTTCGCGACAGAAGCGCGATTGGGAAAGAGCTGGAGAGCTTGGAGTTGGTACGGAGAGCGATAAGAGCCAAGCAGCCAAAGGCCGACCGAAGCTCTGAGCGGAGCGGCCCATGATCGGGTTGTTGCGAAGGTAATACCTGGCTCCCTGGCCTGGATAGGGCTGACATCTGTTAGGGACATATGGATGCCTTTTTTTAGAAACACCCCGTCCTCTCATCTCTTTTGTCATCGCTTCATCGATTCCCCTCGATCCGTGTTGGATCTTTCTTTTGTACATTTACCGATAGACGAAGGGCTGGCTGCTTCTCGCTATCATTCCAGTATACCCTCATCCAACTCGGATATCCCACGATTTACCTCAACTGTCACCTCAAAGGTTTCTCCGGAGCACTCTCATAAGCATGTCAAACTCCAATGGCCAGGTCATAAAAGGCCAATCTGGTCAATACAAAGGCGCAAAGAAAATCAAAATTCCATCTGGTCTCACCGCTTTCCCACGAGACATCTTAGATGCCTTCGATACTCTCGAAATGCTGGACCTTTCTGGCAATCCTGGCCTCACCCAACTCCCCAAAGATATATCGAGGTTGCATAAGCTCAAAGTTGCCTTCTTCTCAGATTGTGGCTTTTCCTTTTTTCCCCAGGAGCTCGCTCAATGTCGCTCTCTCGAGATGATCGCTTTCAAGGGGAACAACATGACTACCATACCAGAATCTTCCTTTCCGAGAAAGTTGCGTTGGTTGATTTTGACAAACAACAAAATCTCGTCTCTCCCTGCTAGTATTGGTCAATGTCATCGACTCCAGAAGTGTATGTTGGCTGGAAACCTTTTGACAAGCTTGCCAGACGAAATGGCGCATTGCCGAAAATTGGGTCTTCTACGACTTTCATCCAATCAATTGACCAAACTTCCGAACTGGTTATTTGAGCTACCTGAGCTGTCATTTTTAGCTTTTGCGGGTAATCCTTGTGCAAAGTCCTCTGAAGACAATTCTGTTCTAGATGGCATTGCATGGGAAGAGTTGGTAGTCCAAAATCTACTTGGTGAGGGAGCGTCAGGAATTATCTCCATGGGGGCATGGAAGAAGAACTCAGATGAAAAGACCGTTGCCATCAAACTTTTCAAGGGCGATGTGACAAGTGACGGTTCACCATTGGACGAGATGAATGCCTGTATTGCAGCTGGCAAGCATGCAAATCTCACTGATCCTATCGGCAAGATCCATGGACATCCGGACAAGAAGGGTCTTGTTCTTGAGTTGATATCGCCCATTTATGCCAATCTCGGTCTTCCACCAACTCTAGATACGTGCACTCGAGATTCTTTCCACCCAGAAATGGCATTTTCTGTTGAAACATGCAAGAATATTCTCCTGGGGATCGCGAGCGCAGCCGAACACATCCATGAAAGAGGTATCGCACACGGAGACTTGTATGCTCACAATATCCTGCTCGATCGCTCAACTGGACACGCTCTTCTGGGAGACTTTGGTGCTGCGACTATCTACGGTAAGGAGCACGAGAAAGCAGATATGATTGAAAGAATGGAAGTCTTTGCCTTTGGCCATCTAGTGGAAGATTTACTGGGACTGGTTGAAAGAAAGTTTGATGACGATGGCTTCGAAGGGAGCGAGAAAGGTGCGATCGCTATTGAAGAGTTGAATTTGCTGCATTGGAGATGTTCAAATCCTATTGTGATGGAGCGGCCCAATTTTGCAGAGGTTAGAGAACAGTTAGAAGGGTTTTAGACTAGATTGGACCGGATTAGACTAGATTTTGCTCTTTAAAACTCGAAGATGGGCTTAGCTTGTAAATGGATGCTAGATTCTAGATAAGATTGTGCTTACAACGGATCGCTGAGTACTCCATACTACCATTTCCTCGCGAATGTCTGTTCTACATTACGGCATACAATAGTCAAGAAGTACAGTGAAGCAGGTTTGACCGTTTGAATAGTTAATCAGTCACACACCCCCGTGTTCCATGTTAGAACATCGATGACTGGGACTATAAAACTCCCTTGTTATTCAAAATTAAGTCGCTGTATCTGACTGGATCCATGTTTAAACAGCTACCAGCAAGATAATAAGATGATTCCACCACATTCACATGTCCGACAAGCTTCTGGGAACTTCTACAATCACTCATAGGCCTGCAGAATTGAATAAGAGCTTTAGATTGAACGTCTTCTTATATTTGAACAATTCTACGCTTTACAAAGCTCTCCCAGAACAAGAAACATACGCATACAGTATCGACATCATGTCCACCAACGATTCCAAACCTGAACCAAACACCAAAACCATCGAAATCAAGCCTACACAAACGGAATCCTCAATACCACCCAACCTAGATTGGCAACGAGGTCAAACATTCGCTCCTCCCGAAGAAGACTGGGAGAAAGAGGCCCTCCAGTCCTTTGAGAAGATATTCTACCTCTTGAAAGAAATCGATGGATACATGGAAGATCTGGCGAAGCGAGGCGTTCATACGACTGAGGGGTGTGAGTGGTATTGCTCGCTTGGGGGGGAAAGTCCGATGCTGCGCGTGTCTTGGTTCATGATCAAATGCTGGGTTTGATGGATGAGTTTAAGGCTCTTGAGAGTGCTATGAAGACTGGAAAGGCGGGGTTATCTTAGAATTACGGAAAGCAGCAGTTTCAAGGCTAATTCTTCTAATATTGTTGTTCGCGGAAAGAAGCTTGTTTTGTTGTGAGCTGGGCTTGTTGACTAGAGCTGAGCTGAGCGAGCAGGCATGGTCTCATCAGATGATTTCTCTTTGGGTGTCGAACATACTTCACGCAGCAGCGTCGGGTATGGTGTTCATCATCGATATATACCCTCATATATACGTCTCATCGAGATTACCTTCTTTTTCTCTCTTCTCTTTATACTCTAACCATTTTACCGAAGTAACCCGATACTGTTATTCATATTATAGATGATCTTTGGTGTAAATCATGGCTAGATACTGTTCTGATACTTAACTTGAAAGGTTCTCCCACAGGAAAGTTGCTGTACTTTAAGCGAAGGAAGAAACGGCTGTGGACGGTTTTGCTCCAACTCCCACTGATGATGAGGCCTCCACATTTGAGTTATCGCCTCTTGTGGCTCAAGAAGCACCAAATACGAACTCATACTTATTCTTTTGTAGATCATAGTTTCAAAAATTGGATTAGTGACCGCGATAGTGTCCAGTTTGCTCGGACTCGGAATTATAATTCCAATTTTATGGTTAATTCTCAGGTCTCATCGCTGTAGTTTTGTCCAGTTGTTGCCTAGCCGTTTTGTGTTTGATTCTTCAGCATAAAACTGATGATAGGCTTTGGAATTTGACTCTACATAAGGCAGAAACTTAGGGTTATTTGCCTGTCAAATCCAGGATATCCTTCACCAACACCACACCTTCCGTTCTCAAAGACTTATTCGCTGCAATGCCAGTCAAGATACTTCGCGCGCCGTCGATGTGGTCAGCCGCTCTGCCAAACCGATCCTCTCCAACGTTCTCTCCAAAAAGATCATTCAGAAGGATCGGGTCCCCTCCACCATGTCCTCCAAGTCCACCCTCAACTTCGATTTCCCTCGGTTTCTCAAACAATGGCCTCAAAGTAACCGTACACTTCTCCAGCGCACCTTCAGCACCCTGTTCTCCACCACTATTAACATAGCTGGCCTCCACGACATCCAACTCCAACCTTCCTTTTGTGCCATTGAAAACTGCATGGAAGCCCTCCCATGGAGAGTAAGCAATGAGACTGTATGTCAAAATCGCACCACTCGCATACTTTACTAAGACACCCATCGTGTCTTCTATACTGATCCCATCTCCAAACACGCTTTGATCTCGATAATAAGCATCCTCGTGTTCCGCTTCAAGATACATCTTTCTCAATTGCTCGTGTTCTTCCAAATGCAATGCGAAGGGATCCTTCTTTGCTACCTCGCTTCCATGAGCTCGAGTGTAGAACTCCGTGATACCTCGCTGCTCGGCATTTTCTCGACCGTAGAACATGAGGCCACCTTGTGCCATAACCGACACGGGGAAAGAACGGAGCCAGAAATTGATAAGATCAAAGTGGTGCGTGGATTTATGGACGAGAAGTCCACCAGCGTTTCTCTTGTCTCGGTGCCATCGACGAAAATAGTCTGCTCCGTGGCTGGTGTTGAGAGCCCATTCAAAATGAATTGAGTTTACCTTACCGATTGCCCCTTCCCCTTGGATGAGATGTTAATGAATAGTGTTTTATTTTTGAGTGTGTTTTCATAAGGAAAAGGTGGTCTGCGAAAGAACGAAGAAATCACATAATTTTGTCAAATACAAAAGTCGAAGAAAATGCTTACCTAGCAACTCAAAAACCTTCGTATTATGCGGTGCATATCGGTAATTGAACGTGACCCTAACCTTCTTTCCCGTCCTCTCAACCGCATCAATAATCGCCTTACACCTCGTCTCATCAATCGTCATGGGTTTCTCAGTAATAACGTTGCATCCCAATTCCAAAGCTCTGATGATATAAATATCATGTGTTCGATCCATGGTGGTGATGATCACCTCATCTGGTTTGGTCTCGGTGATCATCTTATCAAAATCAACAGCTTTGTAAGTTGGTAGTGGAGCTGATGGGTATTTGAGCTTGACGAGCTGATCGTTGGCAACATTCATACGGGTTTGATTCGTGTCACAGAATCCCACGATTAAAGATGTTGAAGTGAAGTCTTTTGCGAGGGCTGTGTAGAAGAATGAACTCCGACCTCCTAGGCCAATCATTACGTATTTCTTCATGGTGTCTTTCGGGGGTTGGTGTTCAACGTAGAGTATGAACAGGAAAGATCACATTCGTGACAGGTTCAAACTCAAAAGTTCTATTGAACCTATATGACCGGAAAGTAATGCTGGTCAGAATGGTGAGTCGTCACCTGATTCCTCATCAATATGTACCCCACATGGAAACTACCCCACAACTCGGTTAAACCACCCCCGCGTCCAACCCCATATGTCTGGTTAAATGTGAACTTCACGCGGAGTCAATTACCCGCCAATCGAAAACTATGAGCTCTCTCTCCCATTGGTGTCGATATATGGCGCCAAGTACTTGTACTACTACCTTTGTAATGTTCTTACCAATCGCTGGACATCGGCTATCAATGCTCCGAAAAGTACATCATCCCGCAATGAAGTTTATAGAATACGGGCAGGTTTTCAAAGCATGATCCCTATTAAACCAGGAGAAAGTTGGGGTTCATGGCAGGGAACAAGTCGACACTGATATCAAAGATGGGGATTCTAACGTCTTTGACTGCTTTTGAGCCATTTCGTCAGACTCCGTTGTTGATAGTACAACTGATATTTGGTAGACCGTTCTTCAAGAGCACTAACATGGACATCGCTAAATCCAAGCAAGGTGAAGTACTTCGGATTCCATGGTTGCGTGACCCTATTGGAGAAGAGTAATTAGATTGTGCATGACCATGCTCAAGTGCAAGTGAATGTTACTACAGTACGCCCGACCTTTTCCTTTCTCCCGGAAATCTTCTTCCCCCTCATGTAGTCGCTATATCAACTGATACCTCATATTTGGAACATGGTACATTGATTGAGAACCACAGCCCAACATCTTTTCTCCCTTTGACAAGTTTTACACAAGTGACTCTCGAAGGCATTTCCTTTGCCGCATACCGATATGGATTCGAAGGATGTAATCTCGGCTCATGTCGAAAATCCTGCAGTGGAGCAGGTAGCTAGGGAGAACCCCCCAGATATCCTAGCACACGACGAAAATGTGTACTTCACAGTTGAGGAAGAGAAGCGGGTCTTACGAAAGATTGATATGCGGGTTCTGCCGTTGATGTTAGGAGCGTACTTTCTCCAACAACTGGACAAATCGTCTCTCTCCTCTACCTCAATATTCGACATCCAGAAAGCTGCAGGACTTCATGGTAGACAGTACTCCTGGCTTGGTTCTGTCCTGTACATTGCTCAACTTGTCATGCAGCCGCTCGGCGCAATACTCCTCGTCAAGCTTCCCACTGGAAAACTGATCTCTACTGCTATCTTCTTCTGGGGTGTTACTATGTGTGGTATGGCAGGATGTAAGAACTTTCAACAGTTACTAGCAACAAGATTTCTCTTGGGTGCTTTTGAGAGTTTGATTGGTAAGCAGCTTCCTTCTCAGACCATAACATCAAAACTGACATACAAAGGTCCTTCTCTTGTTGCGGTAACGCAGATGTGGTGGCGTCGATCAGAGCAAACTAATCGAACCTCAGCATGGAATGCAATGAATGGATTTACTGTCGTTTTTGGCAGCTTGAGTACTTATGGATTAGGACATATCAAGTCAGACACACTTCACTCTTACCAGGTACGCTTTGCAATCTGTTACAGCCAATATGAAGACCCGGTGACTAATTCCCAACCAGATCATTTTTCTCTACTGCGGAGGCTTGACTCTCGTATTCTCCGTCATATCATTCATCTTCTTCCCGGATTCGCCAATGGAAGCGAAATTCTGGAAAGAAGGCGAACGAGACATTGCAATTGAGCGTCTCAGAGCCAATCAAATGGGTATCGTATCTCGAAAGTGGAGATGGGATCACGTATGGGAAGCAGTTCTGGATCCCAAAACGTGGTGTTGGTTTTGCCTCTGCATGACCATATCGTAAGTATCTCTTTCTTTTCCATTTGCCAAGTCTAGTATTAAATATGAGAAATCTAGTATTCCATCAGGAGGTATCGGAACTTTTGGACCATTAATCGTTCAATCTTTTGGATTCGATCAATTCGAGACTATTCTCTTCAACTTCCCTATTGGATTCCTCAACATCGTTGCGATTCTCGGCGGTGGCTGGCTTGCCACTCGCATTAAATCGAAAGGCGTTGTTATATCTATCCTCGCAACTCCATGTATCGTTGGGGCAGCGATGCTGCTTACTTTGCACCGTGGCAAAGGTTCAAAGGGCCCTCTGTTAGTTGCGTACTACTTTACTTCTTTTTTGTCCGGTATCACTCCTTTGGTGTATAGTTGGCATGTCCAGAATACTGCTGGTGACACCAAGCGAAAAGTTACTACAGGCAAGTCTGAATTCAATAATTCGGGTAGCTCTCAATTAACAAGCCAGGTATCGTCTTCGTCGGAATGTGTGCAGGAAATATCATCGGTCCCCTGCTCTACTCGGTAGAAGATAAGCCTTATTACCGCAAAGGACTAATCTCCAACTTAATCATGTTTGCCCTTTTGGAGGTCTTGGTAGTGTAGGCCGCCCCTCACCGTCACAAGTACCCGCTTCTTCAATCTAACAAACCAACAGACTCATAATGCTCTACCTAAACTTCCTCAACATAAAACATTCGCATATGCGAACCGCCGTCGGAAATTCTGCAGTCATGGTTGATGAATCCATGTTACGGAAGACGGATTTGCAGAATCTGGGAAAAGGAGTTGATCAACAGGCCACGTCAAGGGATCAGGATAAGTCGTTTGCGGATGTGACTGATTTGAAGAATGAGGATTTTATCTATGTGTATTGAGTGAGATAATCGGGGTATGTATGGGAGCGGGTGAATGGCGCTAGGAACTCTTTCATGCTCGCTTAGCACGAGCATAATCTATCAAAAGACAGGCGTTTTTTGAGCCCTGTTCATTCTAACTATCTGCTTGATACCTTAGGATCCCAAAAAGTGTCTAATGCCGTTGATTTAGACTCACGAAAAATTATAAAAAGTACCGCTAAACAGCTCTTTCTCTCGTTCTGGCAACCTCTTTTAGCATATGTTGGGTTTAAAACTATATGCGACAGATGGTTTGACTTACTGAACGTTCTCGGAAAACTAATTCAACTTGGGTCAGTATCTCACAATTAAGCTAGAAAGTGGAGAAAATAGCAAGAGTGTACACTGCAGCTTTTTTGGTTCCCATTGGGAAGGATAGCAATCTTTACTTTTGGCGCTGGCCATGGTGAGATCAGTAGTAGTAGCTTTGCGCACATTGTCCAGGAATGAATTTCTCAAAAGTTTCAGGCAATAAAAGAAATATATTTAAGTATATACAAGAACTCGGTAATTACATTAATTCCAACCCTCGTCATGTGATTTATAAGCCATGACTGTTGAACAATCCGCAAGACCTTGGTGCCCAAGATCCCTCCTCATTAAGTATTATAAAGCCTAGTTAGGGCAAGTTTCTCTGGTGGTCATCTTGACGACGAATGCACCACGCTCAATGGTGTTGACGAAGATGTATCCGGACTTGAAGTAAGCGTATGAGGCCCAACTTCCGGAGAACTGGACGATACCACCACCTGGAGCGTTGTCATCTTCTGGGTAGATATCGAAGTATGCAACTTCACAGACACCGGCTCCGGTTGGGTCGGTTGGGATAGATGTGACGTCGTAGATACGTAGACCAGAACCGTAGTTGGATTGGTAAGAGAGACCGTCGATGACATATTGGTTGTGGTCAATACCAACGTCGGCAGCCTTGTAGATACCGGTTTGCTTTGGTGCCTCGAGAGAACGGATATCCCACTGGAAAATATGTGAGCACTTAGTGAGTTTGAATTTGGGATACGCAAGAGCTTACAATGTATGTGACTGGGTATCCATCAGCTGCAGGTCCGTTTCCTTCTTCCTCGTCGACTTCATCATCCATGAGGAGGTACTCTTGGTTGTTTGTGTCGAGAACCCAACCTTGGTGAGTGTAGGTAGCACCTTCGTAAGAAGTGCGAGAAATAACCTTGGATGCATTCTTCATTGTAACGTCATAGCTATCGACCCTGTTAGTATCTCCACTTGTATCTACAGAAGTATTGAAACTTACATGGTCAATGTATCCTCGTTGTAACCGTAGCAGATATCACGTCCCTCGTACTTAGCATCAGGTCCGTGGTAGACGAGACATTGAGCATCGTGGACATATGCATCCTGGGCATCACAGCCCATGCTGGTTGGGTTTGCAGGGTCAGTGAGATCGAAGAAGATCAGACCACCACGGCAGGGGTTGGTTCTTGGTCGGGCTCCTACAGCAACTCCGTAGCCCAATTCTTCGTTGATAACTACGTTGTGAGTTCCACCATTTGGCAGCTCGTTGAAGTGGCCAGTGAGATCCGATGAATCTTCAGCTGTGACCTTGAAGTCAATTGGGTTGGCAGGGTCGACAGTGAGCAACTATATAGTGTGTTAGGAATCATGCTTGGTAGTTTTCCAATAGTCTTCGGGTGAAATTTACCTTTCTCATATCGAAGATCTGGATACCATGACCAGCCAGCTCACTACCAATGAGCATGTAGTTCTTGTAAGAACGGATCTCATGCCAGATTGAATCCTGTCCTGTTGGTGCGTATGATGCACTGTGGATGTTAGATCTAGAAACACAACGGGCCCGGGAATACATACAGGAATCCAAGCTTGACAAGTTGTCCATCACTGGTAATCTCAAGCAAAGCAGTTCCCTCGTAAGCACCGGATGCTAATAGAAGTTAGAGTTGGGGTGTCTGGGCATTTTGACGGATTTAGCTTACCGACGAACTCTCTGCCAGACTCAGGATCAGTCCAACCCCAAGCTGAAGAGCCCTCTGCCGATGGCGCGCCGAGATCTTCGTGAGAGATAAAAGAATACAGATCAGTGTTCTTGCATCTGAATGTGTGAGCTGCATCACCTGGGATGGCCTCTGCAATCCCATTCACACAGGGTGTGTATCCGAGCTATAAAAACCTGAGTCAGCATGTTAAAATCCCAAGAGGTTTGCTGCAGACTATTCACCTTGGGGTATTGAGACGAAGCCATTCTTCCGGCCGCTTTCTCGGACCTCCAATGTGCCTGTGATTTGTATTAGAATTGGACCGTGACAGAACGAGTTTAGAAGAACCTTACCAATTTAGCATTTCTGATTCTCTGGTGCTTGATACCAGAGTCGTAAAGTTCTTTTGCGAATAAAGTCAGTAAGTATACCAGAATATGTGTTGCTGTCTCCTAAGCGATATCTTACCGGCTCCCACGACTTCATCCTTAGGGGTTTCCTTTCCAAAGACAGTGGATGCAGTTAGTGCAAGCGCACCAAGAGTATAAACGAAACGCATGTTGATTAGAAAACGAATGAATGATTGGAAGAAGGGTCTGAGGGGCTTTGAGGGACTTTGAGCAGATTTGATCCTTGACAATTGCCTGCAGGAAAAAGAGACCTACTTAGGGACGATTTTCAAGTATATAAACAAATAGATCGCCCTCATACTCAACATACCCAAGGAGAGATTGGTTTGTTTTGCGGGGACCTTCCCAAATTGCGTGATCTTGCAGCGATACCAGTTATGGAAGCCATCGTGACTTAACTCGCCTGGTATCACAACACACAATGTGTAATAACGACGTTTGTCTAGGAAAGGAAAGACATAAGAGACTTGGCATACACCGAAGGTCTAGGTGGATTACCCTGAGCTCCATGGAAAAGGAAGCAGAGATCAGGCTAACCGTCCTGGGTAGAAAAATTGTCCGAAAATAAGCGTTTGACATCAGTGGAGACACTCATACCGAAGAACAAACAAACAGAGCCACTCTATCTAAGTGGCTCAGCTCTTTCTCTATTCAGCTGGCGCTTGACCCGCTTAAGTGCCATTTCCCGAAATCCCGGCGGAATAGCACCGCAAGACGTACGCATTTCAGCAACAAAAACTGGTGGTAGTATTTCCTCTTTCAACTGAGGTTATTAACCAAATGAAACTTTGAAAAACCTACTTTCAAAGAAATCGACCAAACTACAAAACCAGGCATTAGTAACCCTCGAATGAGGGGAGCACCGTTTACCCATCGCAAGCGAGAGCGTACGAGTAGTGTTGTCCCACTACCGCGGCTAGTACGTAGAGTACACTTCCCAATTCGGTCAAAGATCGTGTCAAACAGTATGGGGCAAGAGAAATGGGCTGTCTAGCCAGAAGCCAGCCAAGATAAAATTGGTCTTGAACGCCCAGAGGTTGCAATGGATGGGGAAGGAGACCGGGGACGTACTAGGTTCAAGCAACCGCCAAGTCGTGTGTTCTACTTGGCACACTCAAGTTTATCGTACAGATGTTCTGTAAGCGTAGAAACAGCACGACAACGAGAAGTGATTGGTCCAAAGAAGGAGGGAGAAGATTTCCAGAAGCCTTCTACTAACGCACACCCGAACACCCGGTGCCTGGCGCAGAGGAACAGTGGTACCAACGATGGCAATACCTAATCTAGAAGTCGTGGATGGAAAGAAATAAGAAGTGATAGCCGCTGGTGGACGGGAACAGAGCCCCAAAAGAAAGATAAGCTTAAGCGCTGGGCGGCACTCTATTCGGAAAGTTACCGGCATCCGTACTTCTTGGACTCATTGCGGCTCTGGGCGAGATTGCAAGTGCCTGGCACCAAGCTTAACCGACCTACGCCCGGGATTTGATGGCTGATTACATTCCTTGCGAAGTTTGTAAAGATGCCTCATTCGACAACTGTGAGAACTGGAAAGGGATAAGAAACTTAAAATGAATCTGACCCGATGTGGTAACCAGGAATTATCAAACACCTAGGTAGAATCCCAAAGGGGAAATTCTTGGCTTATCAACTGATTGAATCGTGAGTTAAAGGTGTTACTTGGCGGGTATAATCCTACCACAACACTTTCCTATTGTACTTCATCCCAGTTGTAATTGTAACTTTAACGAGAGAGCTACCCTATAGTCTCACTCCGCTAAATCTATCCTAGAAAAGTCACAATTAACATTCATTAACATATGCCAGTCGGGAATGAAGTATAGATCACCTTCCTCTGACGACCAAAAGAGCGACGATATACTTTTCCTGACCCGTTTCTCATAGCCGCCGGGAAAGCCTTCAAACAGGTCCTGGTTGTTTCTCTTCAGCTTCTGCCACATGCTAGAAGTTTTGGATACATTGTTGACTAGGGTTTATTTCTCCGTAGAAGAAGTTGTGAAGAAATTCGGTGACTTAATGTACAGCACTAGCATAAAACTTCTGACGAGATGACTAACACAATAATTACCCTAACATATTCAAAAATCCCTCGAAAACAACGACTCCATGATCACCTTATCATGAATCCAACCCTCCAATCCAAAACGAATCACCCAGAAGCAAGGATGGATTTTCCAATCAGCGTGAGAACAAATTGCTCTATTAATCGATAAGTAATCAACTAAATCATGGTTAGATTGATTTGACTTAGATTATGGGACTTCAGGTCATTAAATAGATCAAGAGGCGTTTAGTTAATCTAATTAATTTGAATAATAGTATATATTCTCAAGTACTACTAATACACTTAGAGAACCTTCTAAAAGGATAATAAAGAGAGAAAACAAGAGTAAACATACTCGAGTATAATAGATAATTTAATAACTAAGGACAAGGAACGTTTATATAAACTAGAAATATAACCAAATTAGTTATAGTATATTATTTAGTATGGAACTAGGCCGAGACTTATACCTACTCTTTGGGAATATAGCTAGATAAGACATGTAGGAGAAATATATTGTATCGAGCGTATATATAATGACGGGCTCTCGCTAAGCTAGCACGTGGTCTGCCAAACACCCTCCGAGGGTTCGGCCCGTATTAATCGATTTAATAAGATTACAAGTATATAATTACTTTAAGCTATTAACGATGATTAGGAGGTCCAGTTGATTAGATTAACTTAGATTAAGACCTCCTCAGTTAGTCTAGTCTAATCATTTCTTACGCTGTTTCCAAATGCCCATAGAGTCTCAAGTCGTGACCTCAAAATATATACCAAAAAACTTCAGGTATCGCAATAGAGCCACTATACCCAAGAATTTTACAGACTTCGCAAAGAAAAGAAAAGGAATTTAGGAAATAAGTGTAAGCACATCCTCAAACCCCATATTTGATTCTAAAGAGAAGATTAGAGAGAGGGGCAACAAACAGCACCTAGCTAGCTACACACCGCACCCCACCACCCTTTTCCCCTGAAAACCAAAACCCACCATTTCAACTTCAAAAGTAAACATCCTCTCCTCTTCCTCGTAAAAAAACCCCGCCTCTATCACAAATACCCCAATCCCCCCTGCAGCGCCGCCAACTCCTCCCTAACCTCCCTTACACCAACCCCCACGCGACCCGCAACCTCCGCGCGCCGCTGACTCCCCAACTCACACCACCTGCCCAGCATCCCCCCATCAACCACCGCCCTGCCGCCCGTGATTCCCTCCGGTGCATCGCGATCCACTCGGTAGGCCCTAGGATTGAGGCCGCAAGGATGGTAGAGCGTGTTGGTGAGGTGACTAGCGAGGGTGGAGAGACGTCGATACTGGGATTCCGAGAGGGAGGAGAGGATGGCGATGGTGCCTGTGGTGGAGGTGATGAGGAGTTGTTGCGAGGGGATGGTGGCTTCGGCTGCAAGGGTGGAGGCGTCGGGGGAGGGGGGGAGC